TGCTAATCCCAAAAGGCTATTAATGCAATCACTACCCTGATTGAAGTATGTCTGACCACAGGAGAAAAGATTTCATCATAATCTATCCCATTTTGCTGTGAAAATCCCTTTGCTACCAGTCCAGCCTTGAACTTTTCTCATTCTTTTTCTGATACTGCTGGTTTTTTTTTTGTAGACCCACTTGCAATCAATAGTCTTCTTTCCCTCAGAAAGCTGAACTAGCTCTCAAGTGCAGTTTTTTCACAAAGACTCCATCTCCTCAACCATTGCACCCATCTATTTCTCTTTCTCATGGCTAGTGATAGCTCCTTGAAAAGTGGCTGGATCATCGCTGCTGATGAGGAGTGCACAATAAACCAAGTCTTTATAACCTAATATGCTAGTAGGCCTTATATTGGTGCGTCTCTGTTGGTCTCTGGCTAGATTATAATTTTGCAGATCATCTGAAATAGAATTACAAAGTGTTGGATTTGAACCTTCAACCCTCTCAGTTGTTTCTGGATGTTGTTCTAGATCCATATACACTGCATCTGAACAGGAATTATTCTCTAGCACATTGTCTTAAATCTGCTGGAACATAGACTGTTCATAAAAAAATTATATCTCTGTTAATCACCATATTCTTTACAATCGGATCTCAAAACTTGTATCCTTTCACACCTTTCTTATAGCCTAGAAAGATGCACTTTTTGGATTTTGCATCAAGTTTTGATCTTTCATCTCCAGGTACATGCACATAAGTAAGACAACCAAAAATCCGTAAATGATCGAAATTAACTGGATTACATGTTCATATCTCTTCTGCGACCTTGCCACCCAACGATGTCCGAGGTGATTTATTGATAAGATAACATGTCATATTCACAGCCTCTGCCCAGAAACTCTTAGGAAGTCCTGCATTCATCTGCATTTAGTCTCGAACATCTTGCCCTTTCAGTTAAGGACGTGTTCATCCTTTGTCATACCATTCTGCTGTGGTGTCTTGCGCACTGAAAAATATCTCTGAATTTCATGCTCCTCACAGAACTTCTGAAACTGCGAATTTGTGTACTCCGTGTCATTATCGGATTTCAAATACTTGATCTTTCTGCAGTTTGATTCTCCACCTCAGTTTTTCACAGCTTGAATTTAGATAAGACTTTAGATTTCCGCTTCAAGAAATACACCCAAACTTTCTTGGAGAAATCATCAATAGATGTAACAAAATACTGAGATCCTCTCAATGACGATTCCCTGGTAGGGCCCCATACGTCAGAATGCACATAATCAAGAATCTCTTTAGTTTTATGTTTTCCAGTCATAACCAGTCATAAAACTTACTCTAGTCTGTTTTCCAAGAACACATAACTTACAAAGATCGAGCTTGCAGCTTTTAACACCATGCAATAAATATCATGCAGCATGTTTCTTCTATGCAATTCTGTCATCCCAGGTTCACTGAGATGACCCAGACGCATATGCTATAGCTTTGTACTATCATCATCTGACTCTACAGAATGAACTCCACCTACAACTGTGCTCCCCAATAGTTTATAGATATTACCTGCAGTTAATTTTTTTTTCATCACAGTCAGTGCACCCTTAACAATTCTGATGATTTTTCTATCTTCATATACCTTAGAAATAAAACCATTATATGTAAAGTGCCCAAGGAAATCATTTTTTTTTAATATCTGGAATGTCTGACATCACATAAAGTTTTAATTATACCATCATACATCTTAATTCTGACTTCTCTAATACCAACAATATTGCAGCATCTATCATCACCTAGATAAACTGAGCCAGAATTAGTTGACCTGTGTGAAGTAAATCACTTCCTGTTATGTGTTATGTGATAAAAACATCCTGAATCAAGAATTCATGCATCCGTGAACTGAGTTGATAAAACTGAAAGTATATCATCATCACTGCAATCAGAATTGTCACTCTGCACCGCATTTACAGACTTTGATGATGCATCACCTTTCTCCCCAGTCTGTTTCTTCAGCTTTTGACAATCTCTCTTCATATGACCTGACTTTGCAATTGTAACAATGAATTGTCTTTTTGTCTTTGGATTTGGATTTAGAATTTCGCCTTCTAGAATCCTCCTTATCTTTCTTCCTTCCACGATTCTGCTTACTCTTAACATTTAAACTGTCTCTATGAGAGCATTCCCTGCATTCTGCTTCCGCTGGTTGTGAGCCAAGAATGCTGCAGTAATCTCATCAACTTTGATAGTTTCTTTTTCATATGTAAGAGTAGTCACCAGGTGTTCATAGGAAGAAGTCAATGAACACAACGAAACCATCGCTCGATCTTCATCCTCAATAGTCACATCAAGCCGTGATAAATCTGTGATTATTTGATTGAAGCCATTAACATGCTGCGCCAGATCAGAGCCTTCTTGCATCTTCAGGCCATACAACTTTTGCTTCAGATATAATTTATTCGTCAAAGATTTAACCATAAACTGAGTTTCTAATTTCTTCCATATCTCCCCTGGAGATTTCAGATACATCATCTGTCAGACATAAACATATGGTTGTTGTCGCTCGTTATTGCAATTCTTCCCGATCTTATCATCCATGTCATCTGGTTTTGCTGCCCACAAAGCTTTCAAGGCTCTCACCAACAAATCTTTTACTCTTGTTTGCCACAATCCAAAATTACCAGTTACATCGAATTTTGCATCAGAAATTGTTATTTGAATTGATCTTGCTACAAAAACTTCTGCAAATTCCTCTGCAAATCTTTGCTCAGAATCTTTTCAAAAAGAAAAAGAAGGATTGAAAGGATTTCCTTTAATTAAGTTGCCTTAATTAAGTTTTCCAAAAAAACAACTGATTTTTTTTGAAAAGAAAAGATTGAAATATTTTCTTAGTTAAGCTTTCTTAATTAAGTCCCGATTAATTAAAATATTTCCTTTAATTAACTAAGTTTAAAAAATTTTCCTTTTTTCCGCAAAGCAATAAAATAAGAACTTCCAATTTTCTTCTCTGCAAGCAAAAGAATAAAATCCGAACTTGATTTACTTTCAATATTCTTCCCCAAAGAAAAGAATTCTGAGCTTCCAATTTTCGCCTCCAATTCCCTCCAATCTTCGGCCTCCCGCAAAGGAATGAAACCAATTTTCGCCTCCCAACAAAGAAATCAGAGCCTCCAGCAATGGAAAGGAAATCGCCTTATCGGAAAAATCCCAATTACACCTTCACGCCCAGCAGTCTTTCGCGGCGAACCGCCTTGCCGTCTCCGCTCAGGAACCACTTTAATCGCGCAGAAGCTCCCCTGCTCACCGAATGTCGCGAGTCCCTCGGCTTGGTCGCGATCCTCCCCTGTGAAATTGCCGCAACCCTCGTCTTCGCACCGAACTTTCGATGATCGTCTTCCTGCGAAATTCGAATTGCGCTGAATCGGACGCCTAACCGTTGAACTCGTCGGTGAAAATCTTCTTTGTTTTTGTGCCGCCCAAATTTTTATTCCCTGCCTTAGAACCTCGCTCTGATATCACTTGTTGAGAAATTAGGGTGAAGAAAAATAATAACGACTCAAATCCAGAAGAACACAGAGATTTAACGAGGTTTGACAAAGATACCTACGTCCTCAGGAGCAGAGCGACGACTTTCTTTCAATATTCAGAAAAAAAAGTACAAAATATAGAATATGAGATAATACCTAGGGTTACATACAGATTTATTTTTATAACCCTAGAAAGAATAGTAAAGGAAACCTTGGGTACAATATGTAATTACCAAATTACCCCTATATCACACCCCCAATACATATAAGAAAATTTCACTGATTTGGACAGAATCTTCCGCTCCACTCTAGAATATCCCTTTATGGTATATGAGTCATATCTAACGCTTTTAAAATGTGATAATAGTGCTATTTTTTATGTGATATTTAAGATTTGAGTGTTGTGGGTAAATATGAAAGTTTAGCTGAGATATATGTAAATACATAAAGAATTGTATGCCATATGTGTAAATGCCCCTAACCGAAAATAAACTATAGTAGCACTTTATTGTGAAACTGACCAATAATATATTGTCCAATGAAATGTAGATGAACGAATACTTTATACACGGGCTAAGTTTTTCATCTACCCTCGTTGAAAATTGTAGACGATCAGCTAAACCCTATTCTGAGGGTAAGCATTGCTCATACTACATCTCTTTCTGTTAAATTCTCCACTGCACTTTTGCACATGCCATTTTATGTTCAATAAATTATCTCGGTTGGCTTTCTGATTAAGCTGCGGACTGCATGGCTTCAAATGAGTTTTTTTTGAGTTAGCAATAGTGTCGTTCAGGCTGTGAGGATGTTATTGTTGGTTATTAAAAGAGAACCAAAAATGTTGATGTTGAGATGGCTGTATATTGTTATCATGACCAATATCAGGTTCTCATGTATCAAGGGTCTGATTTTTTAATCTTCTTTTTTTGTTTTTTTTGGCCTTTGTGTTCTTCCTTGCCAGCATTTATGTTTAGTGCTGCATGTTCTTCTTAGCCTTCATATTAATTTTAGATCCCAGCCTTTCTTGTGTAATCTCTGGTTTTTTTTTTTGTTATATACATAGAGGACCGAGGAAGCACTAGTGAGGCTTGGCTAGGAAGCTACTGAATTCATTTGGAAAGCTGATCGGCACGTTGTATATTTCTTGTTAGGAACAATGGAAATAACTAGCACTAAAAGCAACCCATAACATGAATCAACACTTGGGATGATAATGATGTTAATGGCAACAAGAAAAGACCTGGATAAAACGAACCATAAATCCTTGAATCTTTTGTTCTAAGATCTATCTTTTGTGAAGGGCATAGGGCCATGGGTTGCATTGGGTCTTTGTCATTAGTCGCCATACCTTTCTTTATAAACTGACCGATATCTTTGTCTTCTGTGCCTTTTGTTTCCTTTCTCTGTATGTTCAAACGGATTTATGTAATGGATAATACAATGAAACATGGTGTTTTTTGGCAATTTTTTATTTTTATAAATGGTTGTGTGGATCGCAGGAACCCCTTGGTGGTGCACACGCTGATCCAACTTGGACTTCACAACAAATTAAACTTACAGTTACAAGGGCCATGAAGGTGCGTATTCATAGGTAACTTTCATTTATGGAATATTGAATCAGTTGTCTTTTACTCCCTTTCTTCTCCTTCTTTATATTGTATTAGTCAGCTTCTTGGGTGAGTGGAGATGTATGCTGGTTTTATTTCTCTTCTTATGTGCTCCCATTGTACACGTGGCTACAAAATAGATTTACAAGAATAAACTTAGGAGTTGTGATGTGTAACATGAGGATTGTTGCCAGCTTAATTTTGTACTCAGAAAAAAGGAGAGAAATGAAAATGAAAATTAGAGAAATTGTTGCTTCATCATAAATATATTTCCCTTCATTCAACCAATGCGAACTATAAATTTTTTTTTAATATAATAGGATAAAATTTGGGGAAAAATAAACAGTGGCATATAGACATTGTCAGAAATCTCAGACATCCATAGGATAACTCAAAAGATTTAATTAAAGAATTGCTTATGAAATACCCTAGATTGAAACAATTCAATGAATTTTATCGATGCTTTTGGTCAAAATGCATACATATCTACTAGAAACTTGGCCTCTTCGGCAAACTCTTTTTTTATCATTTTCCTTATTGGCAGAATGCAACTGCTTTTTGTTCATCGTAGATAATGAATAGAGTAGTGCAATTTCTCCGTCACTCAGTTCGTCTCCTTGAATAAGCGAAAGTTATTTTAGAAATATGAATGATTTATAATGGATTCATTAATGAAGGTCAATTTGAAGCACATAATCAGCCAGAAAGTGTTCAATTGTAGAAATTTTTAAAATGTGTACAAACATAAAATGGCTACTTGATCATAGGGACCTATATAATTTATTCCTAATTTTATATAAGTAAGATTTACTATTGAGTCAAATTTTGTGTTTAAACATTTGATGTCAGATGATGGAGCAATGAGATCTTTATATAGTTTTATTGATTTTCAAAATACTTATATTGTTATAATAATTTAGTGAGCTTTACAAAAAATGAAATCGTCAAATATAATTGGAAAAATATAATTATCGTCAAATATAATTGGAAGCACATAATCAGCCTGAAAGTGTTCAATTGCAGTAATTTATAAAATGTTTACAAACATGAAATGGCTACTTGATTTTAGGGACCTATATAATATACTCCTAGTTTTATATAAGGAATATTTACTATTGAGGCAAATTTTGTGTTTAAACAATTGATGTCAGATGATGGAGCAATGAGATCTTTATATAGTTTTATTGATTTTGAAATACTTATAATGTTATAATAATTTAATGAGCTTTACAAAAAATGTGTTCAATTATAGGAATTTTTAAAAGGTGTACAAACATGAAATGACTACTTGATCTTAGGGACCTATATAATTTACTCTTTTCCTTAGTTTTATATAAGGAAGATTTACTATTGAGACAAATTTTGTGTTTAAACAATTAATGTCAAATGATGGAGCAATGAGATCTTTATATAGTTTTATTGATTCTGAAAATACTTATAATGAAAATACTTATAATGTTATAATAATTTAGTGAGCTTTACAAAAAATGAAATCATCAAAAATAATTTGAAGCACATAATCAACCTGAAAGTGTTCAATTGTTGGGATTTGTAAAATGTGTACAAACATGAAATGGCTACTTGATCTTAGAGACCTATATAATTTACTCCTAGTTTTATTGATTCTGAAAATACTTATAATGTTATTAATAATTTAGAGAGCTTTACAAAAAATGAAATCGTCAAATATAATTTGAAGCACATAATTAGCCTAAAATTGTTCAATTGTAGGAATTTTTAAAATGTGTACAAACATGAAATGACTCCTTGATCTTAGGGACCTATATAATTTACTCCTAGTTTTTTATAAGGATGATTTACTATGGAGGCAAATTTGGTGTTTAAACAATTGATGTCAGATGATGGAGCGATGAGATTTTTATATAGTTTTATTGATTTTGAAAATACTTATAATGTTATAATAATTTAGTGAGCTTTACAAAAAATGAAATCATCAAAAATAATTTGAAGCACATAATCAACCTGAAAGTGTTCAATTGTTGGGATTTGTAAAATGTGTACAAACATGAAATGGCTACTTGATCTTAGAGACCTATATAATTTACTCCTAGTTTTATTGATTCTGAAAATACTTATTGATATGCCGCCAACAAATTTTCATCATCTGACACAAATCTCGGTGCAATTTTTTGAACAAGAAACATTCAAACTTTGATTAAGAGTTATTCGAAGCTCTGATTTCAGTAAACTTATAATCAAACTAATCAGCTCGATGAGACGGACCTAATGATATGAAATTTAGTCCAATCCGAGTCAAATCAAACCCTCAGATTAAATCATTAAACTACTATTGGAGGAATTTCAGAGATATTTGAAAGGTCAAACAGATGTCGAATCTAGCGAGTTCATAGTCGAATCGAGTATTTCGACAAGACGAATCCAACGAGCCCAAGATTGCTCAATTTCGACATCATTAAGGCACTATTAAGGCACTCATCAAACGACATTTAATCAAGGGAAGCTCTCCGGATCGTCCGATCAAAATGGTTCATATTCCTGCATTAATTGCATTCAAAACACTATAAGTAGAGCCTCACTCCTCACATGAAAGAGGAGGCTTTTGAGAAAGAGCTCAAGTCCAACATCATCCTGACCACCATTGACATCCGTTGACCACCACCGATCATCGACGACCACCACAGACCTCCGTCGACCACCGCCGACTACCATCGACCACTTTCGATCATCACTGACTGTCATCCACCGTCGATCATCGCCGACCATCGTTAATCGGACACCGTCAGGCGACGCTGTAATCTACAAATCTAGTAACCCTTTCCTGTCTGTGGGACAAAGGGGCCGCTGTAATCATCAACATATAGTGGATTTTTATAACTGGGTCAGACCAACCACGTAGTGTTTTCCCTTTACGGGTATTCTACGTAAAAACTTTTAGTGTCATCAAACTTTTGATGTCATCACTGGTTGTTTCACTTTCATCTGAGTGTGTGTTGAATCCTCGTGCAACGCTAAGTCGATAATCCATTATTCTACCGCCGCGAATTTTCTAGCACGCATCAGTTTGGCGCTGTTTGTGAGAAAGTTTCAATCCCACAACTAAAGTACTTACGTGATTTACTACATGGCCACCAGACACAATATTCGTGACAATAGAGCATCCCGCTCCAACTCCCATCGTTCCAGGGAGCAGCCACAAAGCCAAGGGCGACATGCTTCTTCATCTTCCCGCCCTGGAAGACGCTATCCCTCCAACGAATGTGTTTCGGTCCTTCAATAGAAGATCGAATGCGTAGGATGGAAGAGTCTCAACTAGAGATCCTACAACTCCTACGCGGGGCTCAACAGCCGCTGCCTGCACCATTGGATGAAATTCATTTACCATTAACTCCGCGACGTAGGAGAAACATACCGCTCGGAGGAAGTCTTACCGGACCGCCTCCTCAAGAAGGAATACATCCCCTGTCAGGTCGTGATGCTGAACTCCTAGATAACGGAAGATTCACTCATCCATCTAGTGCAGCTCACCTGACATCGCCACATCTTTCTGTCATTCCAGATAAAGTCATTCGTAACGAACTACGACGCTTCGTCTGAAAAGAGTTCCCCTTAAAGAAAAAGGGTCGCTTCTACGCTCACTGTAACATCCATGAATCTTCTCCCTTAGCAGATGTGGTCCTCCAACGCCTCATCCCAATAGGCTTTAAGCTTCCGAACATCGATACATATGAAGGGACAACCGACCCTTATGAGCATATTGATCATTATCAAAATATCATGCACATTCAGCGTGCCTCTGATGTGTTTCTGTGTCAAGTGTTTCCGACTACTCTTAAAGGACAAGCTCGAACCTGGTTCTACTCTCTGTCAGGGGGCACTATAAACGCCTTTAACGAGTTTGCCAAACTGTTCGTAGAGCAGTTCATCGCAAATCAAAGGATCATAAGGGATTCATCCAATCTCTCGGAAATTCGTCAAAATGAAGGAGAGTCGCACAAGGACTACTTCCGCAGGTTTTCTGCTGAAGCCCGTCAGATTCTCGGGGTAGATCCTGAGTTACTAAGGGGGTCTTCCTTGGGGGGCTCCGCCTATGATCTTTTTACTCATCACTGATGTGAGAGACAGTTCGTTCTTATGCTGATCTTGTTCACCGTGTTGAGGCCTAAATCACTGCGGATGAGGCCATCAACGCACATAAGGAGCAGTACGAGAAATTTGGAGGAAAACACAAGAATAACACTGGAGATAATAATCAATCTTCGCAACGGAGAAAGTCCGAACAACAGAGGAATCACGACCTCCCTCCTCAACCTGCAGGCTAACAAAGTTAGTATCGAACTAAGAAAGAGTATACACCACTCAACACATCACGTGCTAATGTCTTAATGGCTATCAAAGATGAGCAAGTCGTTAAGTGACCTCACGTCCTAAAACCTAACTCATATAATCAAGAACAATACTGTCATTTTCATCGAAGTCGTGACCACTCCACTGAAGCGTGTAAGCAGCTCAAGGAAGAGATTGAAAGGTTAATTGACGTATGCGAAATTCAAACAATTGCTGGAGGCTCATTGCTGATTGATCAAGTCCTTATCACTATACCTGATGAATCAATGCAGAAGAAATTGCGTCTCGAGCCTATCACTTTTGTTGATTCCGATTTGGAAGGAGTTTGAGTCCCCCCACCAAGTTCCTCTCGTCATTAGCGCAGGAATTGGCGATCCCTGCTATAACATAAAGAAGATCCTGATCGACAATGGGAGCTCTTTCGATGTCTTGTTCTATTCAACTTTCCTCAGTATGGGATTGACAAGGGAAAGACTTCAACCTACATTCGGACCATTATATGGTTTTAATAATCGATCAGTGAGGGTCGAGGGAATAATAAATCTCTTTGTTTTTTGGGAGATTTTCCTCGACAGATAACTCAGTCCAGTTCATTGTTGTCAAATCAGAATCGACATATAATGCTATCTTCAGAAGACCACTGT